ATGCACCTCCAAACTTTCGTGAGCACCATTGGGAATACCCGCATGGACCGTGGGAGCGAATTCACATTGACTATGCTGGCCCTTTTGCTGGAAAAATGCTGCTCATCGTCTCCGATGCCTACAGCAAATGGCTAGAGGTAAAAATTACGAACACGACAACTGCAGCGGCCACCATTACACTCCTCGACGACCTATTCACGTCTTATGGAGCTCCCCAAACTGTTGTCTCAGATAATGGCACACAGTTCACATCTTCGGAACTCAAAAACTTTCTGCAATATAGCGGTGTCAAATAAACTCACAGCCCCTTATCACCCCTCGACCAATGGCCAAGCGGAAAGAAACGTCCAAACTGTCAAAGATCACCTCAAAATCATGTCTACGGCACCCGGATCCCTGCAGCGTAACTTAAACGAATTCTTACGTCAGTACCGAAAAGCTCCTCACTCTACCACGGGACAATCTCCAGCACAACTCTTCCTGGGACGTTCTCTACGCACTCGCCTGGACTTACTCAAGCCAGAAGACCTATACACAAAAATCACCGAGAAGCAGCGAGCAAATTTTGAACCTTCATTTCGACTATTCCACCCAGCACAAGCGGTTTATTTTCTCTCGGGAACCCGCGGATGGACAAATAGATTCCCGGCACCATCATCTCAAAACTTGGTGACCTACACTACCACATTGACTTTTTCGGAAAACACAACAAAAGACATGTTGACCAAATTCGTGGGCACCTAGAATCCAAGCCCTTGCTGCAGCCAAGCGACGAGTCGCCATATCCTCAAGAAAAACACAACAACAAACAATCGTGGCGTCGACTACGTTATTAGTTGGAGTTGGCCCTACGACTCCAGAAACTATCCCAGCAGCAGCAGGCCAGGCCAGGCCAGCAACACCCGGGAGTCCACAACAGAACTGGAGCGCCGCCTCACCGCTTGCTGGGCACGAGCAGCTTGAGGGCCAGCCACCTGCACCGCCGCGGCGGTGCAAAATGTACCGCATAACCTGAACGCGGCACCACTGGAAACGCCGCGGAGATCTTCACGTGTCAAGAAACCCCTACAACGTTTCTCGCCAAGTTAAACGGTCAACAAGTGCAAGACGCTCCTAGGGGGGAAGAAATGTTGTGTCTTTGGTACTACAATTTATAATTTATTGTGTGCGCGTATGTATGTGTTTATTGTTAGACTAGTTGTTAATTGTTATTGTTGTCATATATTATTATTATTATTGTTGTGGTTGTCAAAATGAAATAAGCATTACGAAATTAAAATAAAGAGTTAACGAAAATCTGAGTATAAATAAACGGATATAAAACAGAAAATATCCCATTAAATACTCAGAGGTCCAGAAGCTCTATTTGGACCCAATTCTCAGAATTCCTACGGGTGAGAAATTTTACACTGGAAAAATGTACTACCGCGACGGAACTAGCAAAATTTCTGGAAAAATCCCCCTTATTATGAAAAAATGCAATGGCGAAGACTGTAAAGAGTCGTCTGTGAAGTCTATGTGGAATTAGTCTGCAAAAATGGTACAAGAAAAATATTTTACGGAATACGGCATAAAAATCGATCCTTTCACGGATATATCTTTCAAATGTTCAAGATTGGCCAGAGATACCAAGCGAAGACAGCTTCAAAGTTGTCCAGAAAAAAGAAAACTTAGTTCAAAAGCATTATCCACCGAAGAACTTTTAAAAATGATCCAAAGCTACGACAAAGAAACCCCCGATGGAGCACAAAAAAAGTTTTTTCACCTCTGCTCATATGAACTTGCTTGGAGAGGCAATGAGGCCGTAAACTGCAAGATTCACTTTTTCCAGAAGGAATTTAATAATATGGGAGAATTTACGGGCCGAATTGAATACAACAGCATTTTTTTGAAAACAACTCAAGGCGGGTCGAAAAGTTTGGCAAGCAGAAAATGGTTGGTAAGAAATTTATCAAACGAAGATTTATGCCTAGTTAGATTATTCTTGAAATTAATGGAAAAAAGAGGACCAAATATTTTATCAGACAGACTTTTTCTTACCGTTCACCCCAACTGGAAGAATGGATCTTGGTTAAAAAACTGTCCACTTGGAATCAACATCGTATCTAAGTGGACAAAGATGTCAGCTGAAAAAATTGGAATAGACACAAAAAAACATAAAATAACAAACCATTCGCATCGATCTTCAGCTGTGTCAGCCTTTTTTAAGCAAGGTGTTGCTGAACAGGAGTTAATTAAATTAACGGGTCACTCAAATGCAAGCTCCCTAAAACCATACCTGCAGCTGGATACTAGTCACAACCAGAAGTTGATCGAAAATCTCCGAACAACAAATGAAGTTGGACCTTCGAGTTCCCACATGCTACAGGTCAATAATACACAAAATCGTGCTTTGGTAGAAAAGAATGGGCAAACTACCATAACATATAATAATTGTACATTTAATATTAACAAATAAATTAAGATTACATGTTTCGGTAAATTTTCACTTTAGCGACTTTTCCGAAAAACAGCAGGAAAGTTGCCAAAATGCCAAAAATAGGTGTGGAGGGATGTAAAAGTGCATAAACAATCGGCGCAGGGTGAAAAAGTTGTATAATTATCGCGTAATTAATAAAAAAAGGGGCTGATAACCGTGATTTTCTGTCAAAAAGAACATGCAGCGTATCTAATAGACGTAGAATTTGAAAGTGGAAGTGAAAAAGCGTGAATTATGAAAAACAAAGTCATAAATTGCGGAAAATGCAATTTTTAAAATCAGGTAATTTGAGGTTATGACGATTAGCTGTCATCTTGGTTATGCAGGTACACTAAAATGGGCAAGTGAGCGAAACCAACCCAAACTTAACAACCCAACCCAACCGACCCCGCCTCATTGGCCCCCCGCCCCATTGAGCAACAGGCTGGATTGTGAACCTGCATAACCTCAAATTATCTGATTTTAAAAATTGCATTTTCCGCAATTTATGACGTTGTTGTTCATAATTCAATCTTTTTCACTTCACTTTCAAATTCTACGTATATTATATACGTGTTTTGGCTCGCTACATGCTCTTTTTCACAGAAAATCACTGTAAGTCACTTCAATTATCAGCCCCTTTATTATTAATTACGTGATAATTATACAAATTTTTCACCTTGCGCCGTTTGTTTATGCACTTTTACATCCCTCCACACCTATTTGTTGCATTTTGGCAACCCGCATGTCGTTTTTCGGAAAAGTCGCTAAAGTGTAAATTTAATGAAAATTTTCTTCTGGTTTCATTCAAGTTTGTTGCTTTATGGCAATTTTCGCTCATGAAATTTTGACAAAATCCCTCGACTGACGTCTCGGGAAATTTCATTCTCGAAAATTGCCAAGCAACAAACTTTCATACCAGTCGAAAATTTTGCCGGCAAAATTTGTTCTCTTGTAATATTATATACGACTATTTCCCTCGTCTTAATATCCACCAATCACAAACGCGCAATTTTGAATTACAAATGGTTTCTAGGTGAAAAAACTGTGTGACAGCACCTGTCAGCAGTTTTTTCGAGTTTACCCGCGGCCACGGTCTTATATACAGGTCTTGCAACTTCGCCCAATTTCAATCGGAAAAGTGACCTCTCTAATGAGACACCCACCAGATGGCGCATCGAGTTGAGGGTGAACCATAGATGTTTAAAGGTCGTTTTTACCTTCTTTATCTTTGGGTTTTACAATCGTTAGATAAGCTCTCTGGTGAATAATTTTCTTAGATAGAAGGTTTCTATGAAAGTTATCCGCCAAATAAGCTAACTTAATCTAACGATTGTAAAACCGGTCCTTAAAGTCTATGGGATAAAAGGTCAAATGAACTACCTACTTCTGTGTTAAGAAACATAACCTACATTTTTATAAACAAGCTTGTGTATTTTGTTACAGGGAGTTTTTACTTATTAATTAGATTAAAATAGCTTACAGTTTGGAAAGTTTATAAACTACCCAGCTACTTTATAAACTATCCATGTTTACACATTAGCCGTAACATATATATGATATACGTAGGTATGTATTTTATACATTAACATGTTTTACTTACATGTTTGGTCTGGGCATGTGACGGCCGAGGACTTTGTGCATAGAGTATAGAGTTTGTTGTCCTATTTTGTTAACGTAAATTATCCGAAACAAACTCACAAATATTAAATTTTTGAAAATGTAAACAAAACAGAAAAAGAATTTAAAAAGTTAGGTTATGGTTATGCAGTAGTTCCACATTTAATTAAGTAGTAGTTTAATTGACTTTACCCCTTCGATCTTAGCTCCACCTAGCGGCTTGGCACGTTAAGGATAGGGTTGCCACCCGTCCTCTTTTTCAGAGGACAGTGCTCTAATTAATTAATTTGTCCTTTGTCCTTTCATTAGGTCGAAATGTCCTCTATTTTTTCAGAATCAAAAATATTTTAATGTAGGTATACGGGCAAGCCAAGAAGGTTCGTACATTTTTTTCAAGTTATCGAATCGGTCCCATTTTATCCTACCGTTACCGTCCCTATAGTAGACATTTTATTTTATTATTATTTTTATAACTTGTCCCTTACGTTATCAGTGTACGGCTTTAGCTCAGACAAGCTCAAATATTTTCTTAGCGCGGCAATGCACCGATGGCAGTGATACGTATGTCGAAAAACAGGTTTTTGATATTTTTATTTAAAATGTTTAAATACTATTAAATTTTTGTCTGCCAGTTCCATAGTTTCTCTATGGCCAGTTCTGTGTTCTGTTCTGTGTACGTGGATTAAAAATAATAACAATCTCTGTCTGTAAGTTTTGTATTCTGTTTTATGTGCTGTAAATTAAAAATAACTTGAAGCATTTACGGTTTTACGAGGTAAGTGGTCAGAGATTTTTTTTAATGTAATAAATCTATTACAATTATATTGTAGGGCAGGGGGAATTGGTGGTGGTTTGGTGGTAGCATAGCATAGTTCATAACATAAATTACACATTGCTTTCGGGTTTCGACAATTATTATAATATGGATTTTGAATCTAATAGTTCTAATTCTGATACAGAAAAACCAACAGTAAGAACTGAAACTCCAACAAAAAGAAAGCGGCTCTGTAAATATAATAAGGCGTGGGAAACCACCTATAAATGGCTAAGACAAGCCAATGAAAAAGAAGCTCGTTGTAATGTTTGCGCAAAAACATTTTCTGTATGTTTCCAAGGGTTATCAGCGGTAAATAAATCATCCTTAAATAAATAATTGCATTCTTAAGTACATTTATTTTAGCTAAAGCAGCACGAGAATACTGACTATCATTCCAGAATGGTGCAGTCGCAAAAAACCACCAGCACCATTACACATTTTTTTACGTCATCACTAAATGAAGAAGAAAGTGACAAAGTTATGGCATCGGAATTAACCTGTGTTTACCACAGTGTTAAACACCACTTGTCTTATAATAGTATGGACTGCATTTTAAAATTGGACAAAATAATATACAATGACAGCAAAATAGCTAAGAAAGTAAGCTGCGGCCGCACTAAGGCTGAAATGCTAGTTAATGAGGTTCTTGCTCCAAGGAGCATTGAAGAAGTTCTACAGGTCTTAAACTTAAACAAATGTTTTTTTTCTGTGCAAACTGACGCTTCAAACATAAAAAATAGAAAATTCTTTCCCCTCAGTATTCAATATTTTACAAAAGATGTTGGTATCCAAAATAAGATATTAGATTTTATTGAATCTGCTGATGAAACTGCTCAGGGAATGTTTGACATGATAGCTAAGTCTTTAAGTAATTTAGGAGTAGATTTAAAATATTGCAGTTGTTTTAGTGCCGACAACACTAATGCCAATTTTGGACAAAATAAATCTCTTTTTAAAAAATTAAAAGATGTTAACAAGGAAATTCTTAAAGCAAATTGTCATGCGCATATCGTTCATAATTGCGTCGGCCATGCATTAGATGAGTTTGCAGGCATAAATATAGATGTAGAAACTCTTGTTTTTAAAATATATTCACACTTTGCGCAGTCGGCAAAAAGAAGAGACAATCTGAAGGATTTTTACGAGTTTGCTGAAATACACTGGAGAGAAATTATTCGCCATGTAAAAACTAGATGGCTATCTCTCCAACCATGCATTCACAGACTATTAGAAAGTTGGCCTGCAATCATATCCTATTTTATTAGCGCTGAAGATGCCAAGCAAGTAAAAAAACTTATATTTTTATCAAAAGACGATGATTCTTCATATAAAGTCGAGATACCTTTGCTTTTTTGTGACAATATCTTAGAGATATTTCAAAAAACTGTTAAAAAATTGGAGGGCAATAAGGTAACGTGCATTGAGATATATGCGATAATGTTAGAGCTAAAAACTGCTCTGGAAGATAGAAAAGTAAATAACTTTTTTGGATTTGTTGTCGGCCAAAAGATTAATAGTCTATTAAATTCTGAAAGGGAGAAATTTAAAGCATGTTTTTTAAAGTTTTATGAAACTGCAATAAAGTATTTAGAAAAGTGGTTTGACTTTTCAGAAAATAATTGGTTGTTTAAATTGCAATTTTTAGACATAAATAAACACAAATACATAAGTTTTGATGACTTTGTTCAAATATGTAATTTGCTTGATTTGCAACAGAAATTGAATTTGAATATGGACAATTTGTTTACAGAAGTAATGGTTTTACAAAAATTATTGAAAAAGGAGGATTTGCTTCAAGGACACACAAACGTTTCCGATAAATGGTGGACTGTTCTAAAAACTACAGAATTAGAAAACATTTTTAAAATAGTATCATTTCTTTTGAGCATTCCAGCAACAAGCGCCTTTTGTGAGCGAGTATTTTCAATCATGAACATCAAATGGCGGGAAGATCGAAATAGATGTTCTACAAAATTAATTAAAAGTGAGCTCCTAACTTATTTTAATTATGAATACAGTTGTGCAGAATTTTATGGTATGGCAGTTCAAAATAAACAGTTAATACAAGCGGCAAAATCAAATAAAAAATATGTGTTTAAATTTAATATTTAATATTTCTGTTTGTAGAGATTCTTTACATATTACAATAAACATAAATTATATATAATAATAAGTTAGACTCCTATTTATTAAAAAAAACCTTATTTTGAATATTAAAATTGCATTAAAATAACGTTCTTAAAAATTAATATTCGAAAATTTTCTCCGGGGTAAAACCCCCTTTACTCCGGCCCCACCAGACTTCTCCGGGCCCTCCGGTCCCCGAGAAGGCTTGTCCTCTATTGCCACTTCCAAAAGGTGGCAACCCTAGTTAAGGAAGCCACCTCGAAGCTTAAAGTTGCAAGACCTGTATATAAGACCGTGCCCGCGGCAAAACTTGTCACCAAAAATTGCAATTTATATTTTAATTGTTAACTGTTACTCATGAAATAGTCTTGTCAAATACCATTCGGGCATCTAATTTTTCCTGTGAAAAAAATCGAAAAAACACAATGCTAAGTAATATTTTTGAACAAAAAGCATTCGTGCAGGTGCAAAAATCCTCCTCTTCGACTCAGATTTTTGTTGCCACCAGCACTCATGCTTTTTGTTAAAATATCACTTAGCAACGTGTTTTTTCGATTCTTTTCGGAAAAATTAAATGCCCTTATGATATTACTTACGAAAAAACAACTAGATGGTCTAGAAATAAGAATAAAATATACAATTCCTTAAATTATATATAATTGTATCCATTAATTTCAGCTTGCTTTCAATATTTTTTTCTAGGAAAGAACTAAATAATTTTAATAAATTCTTTTTCTAAAATTTATAGCACACCCTGTATTCATTTAGTCGTTTAGGTGGTCCGGGTTAAACGTCATTAAATTATGGATCAATAGAGAATCAAAAATGATAAGGGGACTTTCTTCAGAAAAAATATAAAGGGTGAGTTTTAAGTTGACGCGTTCCTTTTAACAATGTGTAGAAATCAGCTAGACAAATAAATATTTTAAGTAACTTTTTTATCAAAACTCAAAAATAAAAAAGTTATAGCCCATCAAAGTTTAATTAAATTTTAAGCCAGTCCTGGCTATTTTTAACGAAAAACATAACCATAAAAATATCAAAATAAACAATGCAAAATTTCATATTTGAAAACAAACATAACCATTTAAATCAAATTGACATTTTGCAATAAAAAATGTCATTATTTACTTAATTAAGTTGCATTTTGACAACACTCTCCATAAATTAGTAACATTTCCACTAATTCATTATTGATATAATTGAGGAGTGATTTTTCAAAAGGCCTTATTTCCATTTTTACTTTAATGTAATTTTTTGACAAAATCCCAAAGGTATGGTTAAAAGGCATTTATTAACGGCGAAATATGACAGCAGGTCTGAAGTATTATTAAATATTTATCAGATTTTTTTTTTAAATAATCTAGGTATATTGCCCTAACGACGAAATACGACCTTTTGAAAAATCACTCCTCAATTATGAACCATTTTTAACAATAATTGATTTCAATTATGAACCATCTTTAACATTTTGATTTAAATGGTTATGTTTGATGTCATAGATGACATTTTGCATTGTTTATTTTGTTATTTTTATTTTTATGGTTATGTTTTTTGTTAACAATAACCAGGACCGGCTCAAAATTTAATTAAACTTGGAAGGCCTATAACTCTTATTTTTGAGTTTTGACAAAAAAGTTACTTAAAATATTTATTTATCTGATTTCTACACGCTGTTAAAAGGAACGCGTCAACTTAAAACTCTCCCTGAATAAGAAATGCCGCAGAGTTGGAAATAAATAATCATTTTTTTTCAAATAACTTTTGAACCGCTCAACCGATTTTGATTAAATTTGAACCAATGTTCACATAAATAATCCTCTATCGAAAGGTGATAACGCGCTATATATAAATTTATCAGGGGTGCTTCCACTCTCCTTCCCCTATTTGTTTTAATTGAATAATATGTTCAATTTCAAAGAAAAAGTTGTTTATGAGATATTTAAATTAAATTAAAGGTTTGAAAATCATCTAAAAAAAAGTCATGAAGTCTTTACTCGAATAGGTTTTTTGTTCGCTTTTAGTTTTATATAAGGAACGGTATGAAAGACCAAACTGTTTCGAGCATTTTAATAATTATTACTATAGTAGTAGTATTATTAGTAATAATTTATTACAGGCTTGCGCCAAAAATAAGGTGGATGAAATGCGCTCCCGGCCAAAGAATTTGGAATATTTATGAGCACTTGAAATTAGAGCTCCCTATAATTATATTGGATCCTTGCAGCATTTGCATTTTGTGAGGATAGAGTGTCCAAAGATGGAAAAAACATAAGGTATTAAAAATTGTCCACCTCGCATTAATTTAACTAAGGAAAATGATTTCACAATAGACATTTTGATTACTGAAAGAATTTGCTTTTTTATTATTGAAGAAAATGCAAAAGTAAAGAATTCCACCTTAAAATTGGCCATAGGATCCGGTTTTCTTAGAATTTCGTGAAAAGTGTTGTAAGATGAGAGTTGTTAATGATACTGCCGAACGCATAGAAATAATACTATTATTTGTATGGCCGGACGGGAAATTATTAATAATTTCCCGTGCGAATTCTTATTCAAAAATACAACCAGTCACTGATCAAGGACGAAGAACAATTGCAATATATTCTTCGTCTAGTCGCAATCACCAGAAACAGTAGCTATGTAGTATTTTTTATTTTAGTGTTTGATATTGATTTTTCTAATTACGTTTAATTATGGGCGACCTTAAAATTTTATGATTCCAAAAAAATTTTGTGTGCTAAATACTCATTTAGATGTCATAGGTAGAATAAGGGAGACAATATTTAAAACTTTTATTTTAGTGTATTTAAATGAGTATGTACAGGGTGATCCCCTATAATGTCGCCCCCCATTAACTTTTTAAGTGTCCCAAAAAATTTAAAAGTGTGGTTATGTAGTTACTAAAAAATACTTTTTTTCTACGTATAAAGAAACTTGGAAAATTGATAATATACAGGGAAAAACAAAAAGTTTATTTTTTTTTCAATGGATCATCCTATATATGAATTATAATATGTATAATTCTGGGCATAATTCATATAACAAACATTTTACCTAAATTCAACTGTTTCTGAAATATTCGCCTTCGAAATGTTATCATTAAATGTTTTTTTAAACTGTTAGAAATCAAGAAGCCTCAGTATACCAACATTTTTATTGAAAATAAAATACTATAGTGACATTACGTCAGTATGTCTTGTTAAATAAGTAAAAATGGCATACTCAGACAGAGAAAGACAAACTATTTCATTTTATTATCTTAAAAATAATTTAAATATTTCAGAAACGGTTGAATTTAGGTATATGGTATGTTATATGAAATATGCTTAGAATTTTACAAGGAATCAAAAAAAAATACATATACGTATACGTATAGGGTGATCCATTGAAAAAAAATAACTTTTTGTTTTCCCTGTATACTGATCAATTTTCCAATTTTCTTTATGCGAAGAAAAAAAGTATTTTTTAGTACCTACATAACCACACATTTAAATTTTTTGGGACCCTTAAAATAAAAAAGTTAAAGGGGGCGACATAATATTATAGGGGATCACCCTGTACCTAGCATCTATTAGTTAAATTAGATATAATTTTTTAATTTATTTAATTTTTAAGGGGGGGGTTAAACCCCCTAAACAAAATAAAGTTTCAGAGATAATTGCAATTTCAGTTATCTCTGAAACAAAAATATTAATACAATCATTAATAAGATGTAAACCGATTTTTTTTTTTTATATAATTATTTTTATCTTAAAGATTAATATGTTTGCTAGTCCAAAATTAATTTTGAAAAAAACGGATATTTGACCCACTCTAGTGTAGGGGCTAAACCCAAACTAGGGACACGTTGTATATCATAAAAGAAATAGTTTATATATATGGTCGATATGTCATGATTATGGTTCGGATTTTTATGCTCTTAAAAAGTCAAAAATATGCTATATATTCCCTTAAAAACACCGAAATATGCGATTAAATTTAAAAAAATATGCGGTTATAATAAAAGGATAGAATTTATTGATGTAAAAATATATACATATCTACCATAAGTCAGTCAATAAAATGAGTATGTTATATTATTTTAAATAATAATTTATTCCTAATATATTAGCATTACAATGTATAACAAGTTTCATTCTTATATTTTCAAAATTAAAACGCTTTCTAGTGTCAGCTAAAATATTCTTATAAATTTAAAAGCTTCGCTCGACGTCGCAAGATCTCACAGGAGCATACTTAAACGCAACTATATCCTTAATATTGAAGTCTTCTAATTCCATGGGTTCTTCACCATTTAAAAATTTATTTATTTTAACTAATTTCTCATACCCAGGATTTTTCTCTAAAACATTTTTCATTTTTTTTAACTTCTTTTGCTGCTTTGCCAGGTGCCTTCTCGATGTTCTGATATACAGTTTTAATAATATTTAAAGAAACTGACAGCGGCTGCTCTTTTGTTTCTAATGTTGCAATTGTCTGATTTAAAAACTGAAAATGGCATTTTATATATACTAGGTCATCTTTCACTCCTCTTGTAGACATTGCTTTCTTAGCATCGACTACTGATGCTGCATCGTCCTCATCTAGACTCTCGAGTATTTCCCGGATCTTTTCAAAATTGTCTGCATAATAGCAGGAAGCATTTAGCCAAGTTCCCCATCTAGTGAGAATTGGTTGTGGAGGCAAATGCAAATTAGGTCCCATTTCTTTAAAATGAGCGACGCGACTAGGTGCTTTCACAAAAACTTTTTTCACGTTTGAAATGATGATATTTACTGTAGGATATAAACTTCTTATTGTTTCTGCTACGAGATGTACACCATGCACTAAGCATGTTAAGTGTATCTTCTTGCTGTACATTAATTTTAACTCTGCGTCGGCCTTAACCATGTAAGGTGCAGCGTCTGAGACTAACAGTAGCACTTTTTCATAGTTAATACCAGTTGGCCACAAAAAAATCATGGCGTCATTAAATGTTTTAGCAATTGAGGCACTATTAGTTTTTTGCAAGAACTGGGTTGTTAACAAATACGCAGGAGATGGTTTATCCATTAACGCACCAACAATTACATTAGCTACATATCGACCTGCAGAATCAGTGGTCTCGTCAATTGCAACCCATATATAGTTGTCACCAATTTCTCTTTGTATTTTTTAACGGTTTCCAAATACACTTTTGGCAAATATTTTTTTCTTACTGTAGACTCATCTGGTATGAAAAGTTTTGTATACTTTTTCAAAGTTTCTTTCAGCTTAGGATGTTGCAACTTATTTAGTGGAATATTAGCAGCTACATATGAACGGCATATATCTTCAAAAAATTCTGAATTTGATCCATTTGTTTTTTTGGCAGCCGTGGTTGTTATCAAACATTGTTTTGGTTAATAGACTTTTCACATATATTACAAAATAATATAGACCCATCTGTTTTAAATACATCTCCATACTCTCGCACATAACCATTTAAACTTACACAAGTTGAGGTTTTTGGTCTCATTTTATAATAGTCGACTGCACTGACTGAATTATATTGACTCATACATAACCCATTTATATAATACGATAGGTATAAAAATTAATTACCTGATTTGTTAGGGTATTAGAAACATTATTTATTCATAAATGAATCATTATTATTAATAAAGACGGAAAGGCTTATAACAGGATTATATGGATTTATATGTATAAAATAAGTGTTTATGGGTGAAAATAGGAAAATATTCCATTATAAGTAAATACTTAAAAATATGCATTTAATAAGGAAAAACACGTAAATATGCATTTATATTCGAAAATATTTAATAACATAAAAATCCGAACCCTAGTGATGATATATATCGACGTGATACATATTCAGAACCCTGCCAAATATTGGCCAATAATTGTGAAAATTTATGTCAAATATATAGTTATATTAATGGCGCGGGTGAACTAAAGACAATATGCGTTTAAAGTAAATTTTAATAGCTGCCGATATGTCTATTGAGCAGATATTCGATCGGATGTTAAAATTTAATCATTAATTTTTGAGTCAATGTTAATAAAGATTTATCCACTTTTCATTATTCAGGTCCTGTTGCATATAAAGCGTTTTTGATTAATAAAATGGCAGTGTTCAAATTTTTAAATATCGCCAAAATATTGAATATTCCATAAATCACAAATTTCAACTTTGAAGCGGGGTGTTTAAACAAAAGTTGTTGCAAATTGAGTTAGAAACTATATTATGAATTTACGACTAATTTTATAGAAACCGCAGAAAACTTATCTAAACCCCCTACCTCGGACGTTTAATGCGCTGTTTTTGTTTAAAACCTCTTTTCAAAACACAAAAAAACCCACACAAAGATGGCGGAAAAAGCAGAAACAAATTTTGTTATAATTTCGCACTTTTGGGTTTCTTTAATTTTTAAATTATTATTATTTATTTAAATTATAATTATTATTATTATTTAAATTCTTAAAATAAAGAAACATGCTTAGTTAGGAAAATGTTTTTAAATCTAGTTCATGTGAGTTACATGCTTACCATTAGGTTTTCTTCAATATCTTTATTATCTTCAAATCGTTCTGAACTTAAAAAGGTTGGTATATTGACTGGTAAAGATTTTGCTATGCTTATACTTCCAGATCTACACCGGTTTATCTTAGTAGATTCGTCTTTTCCTGTAATTAAAAACATACAAATCAGTATTAAAAAAAATTACTAAAATATTTCATACAAAAAGAAAAAGGTCTGGAGACATCTACCTTCTAGAGACGTGGCCTCGCTGTGCGGCGTGCCATCACAATGCACTTAGACACACAGTGGTAGGTTTTATCAAACCGTACGCGGCCCAAAATAGTCGAACTAGCTTTGACCAGCTATGCGGCAATATATCAGAAACAATAGGTTTTCTACTTTACTAATATTGCAAAGACTGAAATGCCTTCCATCTCGAGGTAGGTATAACAGAAAACCTTGTATACCTAACATCCAAATCCACCTAGCTTTTAGCAGAAATGAAACCATACTAGCTGTCTTTGTTGACATAAAGGCAGCATATGAAAACGTAAACACCTCAATCATCTATAATTACTTATAAAAACTCAACATACCTCATAATTACTCAAACTTAATCTATAATATTCTATCTCATAGGAACTTGTTTATTAGGGATTGCAACAACCATATTCATG